ACAGAGCTGGCCACTGTGAATGGTGAAAACAAGCTGTGCAGTACCCTGCGCCCCATACCAGTGCAAACTGCCTGTTACCCTAAGGTAAACAAGGAAGACAAAACCCCCTAGCACACAAATGGTGGCCAAAAAAACGAGCAGTTAAAGGGCCCAGCAGAGGCAGGAACCAAGGAACTTGTGGTAGGTGGCCCCAAGGCAGTATTTATAGGACACCTAGGGATGAGAACCATAGGTGCATGCAGCCCGAGTACTGTAGAATAACTCCTGGCTTGCGCACCCCTGGAGGACATTCACCACATGTAAAGCACAGTGCTGAAAATCACTGGAGCCAGAGCACACAACCTCAGCCTCTAGCATCAGCTTTAGAACTGAAGGGTGGATGACCAGCACGCGGGTCTGAGGCTCCCCCCCCCCCCTTCCCCCTCCCGGGGAGGAGGGGGAGAGCTGCGCACACAGCGGCGGGGTGACGTGTGACGTCATGCTCGTTTGCTCATTTCTTTTTGAGGAGTTCTATCCACTTGTTCGGCTTTTGATAGCAATTTTCACCAGAATAGGTGTTTGTTTTGGGACGCTTACCTTTCTGGGTGTCTGACCCAGTCGATGGCAGACATGAAATGCTTCCAACCACACGGGAGTGTCTATAGGCCATTGCTCCCCATGGCTCTCTGAGGGGGCCAGGTTCTGGCTCGTGGTCCCAGGTAGACAAGAAGGTGGTGGCACAGCTATATACTGTAATTGAAAATATATGTGGCAACACCCGGTGCTTGAATGGGCCGCGCGACCGTGTCTGGGTGATTCATGCACGGGCGACCAGGCCCTGATGATGTCACAGCACACCTTGTCCACGTCCCACAGCCAAAGTAAGTGGAATTTGATATTTATTTTTACATAAACATGTTCAAGGAAGGGAATTTATCATTTTACGAAGAAAAAAGAATTTTTTGGGAACACTATTTCATACGCACCGGGGAAATTTCACAATAAACTCCATGCAGCACAGTTGTTAAACACCAGCCTATTGTAGGGAGTAGCGTGTTAGGGTTATCAGAGTGAGCCAGTCCCTCCCCCCACCCCCACCCCCCTACATCCCACACACACACACTGCTTCACTGGTCGTTGTTCAACTCAACACCTATCCATGCATCCCTCCCTCCATCCACCCATCCCTCCAACCTTCCATCCCTCCATCCATCCATCTTTCGATCCATCCCTCATTCAACCATCCTTCCCTCCATCCCTCCCTCCCACCCTCCGTCCATCCATCCCTCGATCCATCCTTCCATCTATCCATCCTTCCCTCCATCCCACCATCCTTCCATACATCCGTCCATCCATCCCTCCCTCCATCCATCTTTCCATTCCTCCAACCTTCCATCCATTCATCCCTCCATCGATCCTTCCACCTATCCATCCATCCCTCCAGCCTGACAGCTGGGTGGACAGCGCTTCGGATTCATAGTCCTGAGGTTCCGGGTTCGATCCCCGGTGGAGGCAGAGACAAATGGGCAATATGTTTCTTTCACCCTGATGCCCCTGTTACCTAGCAGTAAATAGGTACCTGGTTGGTAGTCAGCTGCTACGGGCTGCTTCCAGGGGGTGGAGGCCTGGTCGAAGATCAGGCCATGGTCATCCGCACAGCCCTCCCCTCTCTGAGAGGGGGAGGGAGAGCACCGGACCTCACCGTGCCGGCTGCCTTCAGTTCGGAAACTAGGCTTCAACCAATGCGAAAAACCACCGCCGACTGGATGGGAGGGAGGATAGCAAGGGAGCCTCCGGGGCTCACCCAGAAAATGGCGTTTCATTACATTCAACGCTGGTTTTCTGTGGGGAGCCCTTACGGCTCCCTGGAGCTACATACCCAAAGAGAAGGAAAATAGGGACTTACCCTATTTTAGGGCAGCGGCTACAAACTCCTCAACGTGAAGTCAAGACAACTGGCTGCAACCTGCGATACAAAGCAGCACAAGAACGCCAAGAAGCAGGTACGTTCACCAAATAATGGGCGGCCAGGACCCTGTTCGACTTCCAAAATCCACGCACTCGAATATGAGCCCAAGACATGTTACCAAACATGGCAGCCAAAGCTGCAAACTTCCAAACGTCGTGGACGCGAGGACAGACCGCAGGTTGGCTATACTTAATAACCTTGCGGACAACCTGGGAGACCCGAGCCCTGGAACAGGGAACGAGGGAAACTGGATCAACTCAAAGTGCATCCTCAGCCACCCCAGCTGAGGCACGCAGGTAACAGCGAAGAGCCGCAACCGGACACAAGACATGATGCACCCCCGGCCGAACCAACCAAGCATCAATGACCCACGGACCCCTCCGGAAAGCAGCCATCTCGTTCTTCGCCAGAAAAGACGGAGAAGGCTGCAAACGGACAAACCTACCACCAGGACCAAAAGAACAGAAACCCCTGCGCTGGAGGAGAGCATGAAGCTACCCCAACGAGCCCCCAGAGGCCAATGCCAACAAAAACAAAGCCTTGGAAAAACAATCAGGAACCGAAGGGGCCACCACAAACCGAGGAGAGGAAAGATAGGAGAGCACCCTGTCCAAGGACCAGGACGGCTCAGGCGGCACATGAGCAGGCCGGAGGTGAAACATAGCACGAGAAAGTTTACGGAATGGGGCAGGTGTGATGTCCACCCCAAATGCTAGCTTGAGCAGCTCCGCCAGTGCCACACGATACGAGGCGACAGTATTAGGCATCAAATGACGGTCCTGAAAAAGCCAAAAGAGAAAGGACAAGACAACCCGATCCGAAAGATAAGACAACGTACGAAGAGCAAGAAAATGGCGAAAAGAACGCCAGGAAACTTCATACTGTTGCCGAGACAAAGCTCTCAGGTGGGACACCATCAACGAAGCCACCTGATCACCATAGAAATGATGATACACCTGCTTCAAAAATATCAGACGCGAAGAGCAGAGGAGAAGGTCGAACCAGCCTCGTATCGGATCGGGCCGACCTGCTGCTACAGGCGGAGCCGCGGGAAATGCCCCGGGTTTGGACACCGAGCCAATGGCGCCGGAAACCAAGGCTGGGCTGGCCACCAAGGGGCCACAAGGACTACTCTCCCTGGGAAGGTCTCCAACCGAACCAGAACCCGAAGCAACAGTTGGACCGGGGGAAAGAGGTACAGGTAACCCCACCTCGACCAGTCCTGCCAAAAAGCATCCACCGCAAACGCTTCGCAGTCGGGAAAGGGCGTCGCATAGATTGTAAGACGCCGACGCGAAGAGGTCCACGTCTGGGAGACTGTACGTCTGGCAGATCCAACGAAATGAGTCGTCGTCGACCATCCATTCCGTGGACAGGGGAATAAAGTGAGACAGGCCATCCGCACGGACGTTGGACACTCCCCGGACACAAAACGCATGGAGAGCCAAACCCCGAGAATCCAGCAGACAAACCACTCGAAGGGACCAGCCCCAGAGAGCCAAGGACAGAAGAGAACCCCCACGGTTCAGGCAATGAACAACCGGAGAACAGTCTGAATGGAGGCGAATGGTCGATCCCGGAGCGACCTGAACCCTCCGAAGCACAAACTAGACTACCACGAACTCCCGAACTGTGATGTGAGCCCGACAGAAGGACGGAACCCACCGTCCCTGGCTGGCCTGGTGAGCACTGTCACAAAGCCCCAGCCGAGAGACGACGCGTCCATGAACACATCGAGTGAAGGCTTGGGAAGGCGCAAAGGCACTGAACCCCGAAAACCCCAAAGAGGAAGCCGGTGACGCAGCAACCGACACAAGGATGAACTCAACGATTGCGAGAGAGGCAGAAGGGACGTCCCTGAAGGAACCAAAACAGTCGCCGAAGCCAAACCCGACCAGGCGGGTAGACTAGCATGGTGAAGATCAGACTCCCATACAACCGCTCGAGCAACCGACGAGCGACCCCGGGACCGCCTCAGAAACAGCCGGCGGCGGGCTCGCAGCCGCAGCAACGCCTCTGGAGGGAGAGACAAGGAAGCGGTCTGAGAATCCCAAACAAGACCCAGCCAGATCCGAACCTGGGACAGAACCAGATGGGACTTCCTCCAGTTCACAAGGAACCAGAACCTGGCGAGCTAATAAAGAACCATATCCCTGGCGAGCAGACAAGCTGACCGACTGGGAGCCCACACCAGCCAGTCGTCGAGGGAGGCCAAAACCCGAATCCCTAGAAGATGCAGACGGGTCACCACAACCCGGGTCAGACGCGTGAAAATGCGAGGTGCCGGATTCAAGCCAAAAGGTGGGCAGCGAAATCGGTAAGCGTGACGCCCCACCATGAAACCTAACCAGTCCCTGAATCCCGGATGAATAGAAACGTGCCAATAAGCGTCCTTGAGGTCCAGGGACAGCATCCAGGCACCTGGCTCCAACAGAAGCCGGACCTGAGACAGAAAAGAAAGGGCAAGGAATCCAGGGGTTCAGACGGGATAACTCTAGGTACAGTGCTGAAACAACCACTGGAGCCGGAGCACATAACCGGTGCCTATAGCATCAGCCGAAGAACTGATGGGTGAATAGCCGGCGTGGGAGGTCTGGGGCTCCCCCTTCCCCCTCCCGGGGAGGGGGGAGTTGCACAGACAGCGGCGCGGTGACGTATGACGTCATACTAGTTTCCTTGTTTTCTGTTGGAGTTCTATCCACTAGTTCGGCTTTAGGTAGCAATTTTCACCAGAATAGGGGTTTGTTTTGGAATGCTTACCTTTCTGGATGCTTGACCCGGTCGATGGTAGACATACTGTAGAATGCTTCCAACCACACGGGGGTTTCTATAGGCCATTGCTCCCCTTGCCTCTCTGAGGGGGCCAGGTTCTGGCCGTGGTCCCCGGTAGGCCCTAGAACTCCATACACATGACTGATGCCAACGTCTGACATTAGCATATCAGCCTGGTAAAGCTCCGGGGAGCCGACGGGGCTCCCCCCAGAAAGTTTAGACAACTTAAGTCTGTAGTCAAATCATCTACAGTACATTTAAAAGTTAAATTTTTACTAACTTTAATCAAGGGAACTCTAAGATAATTCCCCATTAGAGAATTAAATGCAGAGTTGGTAGACCATACAACTGGTCCTGATGATGTGTCAGTAATTACAAGCACCTGGTGCTTGAACCGTACGTCTGCTTGTTCACGGTTCTCTGCCTCCGTTATCCAAAGTCCTGGGGGGAAAAAAAAGTGTTGAATGTAATGAAATGCCATTTTCTGGGTGAGACCCGGAGGCTTCCTGGAGTTATACTAGTTGATGTATATATATTAGACCGTGCCAACAGTCAATCGATGGATCTAGGCCTACAGGGGACCACGAACCAGAACCTGGCCCCCTCAGAGAGGCACAAGGAGCAATGGCCTATAGACACCCTCATATGATTGGAAGCAGTCTATGTCTGCCATCTACCAGGTCAAGCCCCCAGAAAGGTAGCAGCCCCAAAACAAACTACAGCTGGTTGCAAACCGAAAGCAGAACGAGCAAGCAGAACTCCCCAATCAGAAAACGCACATGACGTCACCACAGCCGCCACACTGCTGTCTGTGTAACTCCCCCCTCCCTGGGAGGGAGAAGGGAGAGCCCCAGACCCCCCACACTGGCTACCCATCCGAAGTTCAGAGGTTGGACGTCAAAAAGCGACAAAACTGCCGACCAGAGGGAGGGAGGGAGGGATGTGGGAGAGCCTCCGGGTCTTGTCCAGAAAATGGTATTTTTGACATTCGGCCACTGAACTGATGTTGGATAGCCTTCCCCGTCCCGAGGAGGGGGAAATTGCGCAGATAGCAGCTAAAGATAAAGTAAAAGAGGGACTTACCCGGGAGGCAGCTGCCACTCGCTCCTCAATTCAAAGTTGAGACAACTGGCTCCACCCTGCAACCCAAGACTACACATGCACGAGAGGGGCCAGGAACATTACCAAGGCACTGTGCGGCCAGGACCCTGTTCGACTTCCAAAAGTCCCGTGCCCGAATGTCAGCCCAAGACATATTACGAAAAACAGCAGCCAAAGTCACGAACTTACAAATGACATGGGCACAGGGATAGAAAGCAAGCTAGCTGGACAGAATAACCCTGTAGATGACCCTGGGGGACCTGAATATCAATATCAGTGGACTGGGTGAATTGGAGTACAAGCAAGGAACACCACACACAGGACTCCGAGTCAAAGGTGTCATTGACCCAACAGGCAGCATGACGGAGGCAAAAATGCTGATTGTCACCCTGAGACAAGGGGACAGAGCAACCTTCTAACTCGCACAAAGCGAGAGGGGACTCGGAGGACGCATCCAATTGACCAATGAGCCCCAGTGGGGGGTTTCCAAGGCCCTTAGACCGTTAAGGGAAGCCCAGGCAAGGTACTGCTAACCCAGAACTACCAATAGGACAACAAAAGCTGAACCCCTGTGACATATGCAATCACAGGGGCCTAGCTGGGGGCCACCAAAATAACATAAGTGGTCTTATAGCCACACCGGGCAAACAAAACAAAAGAAAATAAACACCCTGCAAAAACACAACGTCTCCAGGGGAACAGAACCAGCCGCTATGCGTATATCAGACTGCTGCACAATACCTTGCGCCCCTGCCTGCGACGACACTACCTCCTACCCAAGGGCAAACAATAGTAAGTCAGGAGTCAGAGTCAATCGACCGCCACCAAACACAACAGCATCTGAACTGAGGTTGGGTAGCCAGCATGGGGGGTCTGGGGCTCCCCCTTTCCCCTCCCGTGAAGGGTGGAGTTGCGCAGACACCGGTGCCGAGGCTGTGGTGACGTCATGCTTGTTTGTTTATTTTCTGATTAAGAAGTTCTGCTTGCTCGTTTGGCTTTCGGTTTGCAATTTTTAACCAGCCGTGCAGTAGTTTGTTTTGGGACTCCAACCTTTCTGGGTGCCTGACCTGGTAGATGGGGCAGACATAGACTGCTTCCAACCACACGAGGGTGTCTTATAGGCCACTGCTCCTCGTGCCTCTCTGAGGGGGCCAGGTTCTGGCTCTGGTCCCCGGTAGGTCTAGAACTCCATCGATTGACTGTTGCCACAGTCTAATATATACACATATAAGCCCGGTATAGCTCTGGGAAGCCAGAGGGGCTCTCCATAGAAAAGGACATATACAGTACTGTACTGTGTATAAATAAATAAATAAATAAATAATATATATATATATATATATATATATATATATATATATATATATATATATATATATATATATATATATATATATATGTCGTACCTAGTAGCCAGAACGCACTTCTCAGCCTACTATGCAAGGCCCAATTTGCCTAATAAGCCAAGTTTTCATGAATTAATTGTTTTTCGACTACCTAACCTACCTAACCTAACCTAACCTAACTTTTTCGGCTACCTAACCAAACCTAACCTATGAAGATAGGTTATAGGTTAGGTTAGGTTAGGTAGGGTTGGTTAGGTTCGGTCATATATCTACGTTAATTTTAACTCCAATAATAAAAAATTGACCTCATACATAATGAAATGGGTAGCTTTATCATTTCATAAGAAAAAAATTAGAAAAAATATATTAATTCAGGAAAATATGGCTTATTAGGCAAATCGGGCCTTGAATAGTAGGCCAAAAAGTGAGTTCTGGCTACTAGGTACGACATATATATATATATATATATATATATATATATATATATTGTGACGATAATCTCCTTCAAGAGATTGAGCCTGCTCTTCCCTCCAAAATTACGTCTTCACAATTATATAAAAAGACTATGGAAGAAATGTCCAACAACAACGACAACAACACCAGCACCAGCAAGGCTTGCCAGGGTGAGCAGAAACGTATGCAACCAGCCACCTGTTCGAACTCCAACCACCAAACTACCCGTTGATCGCTACGGCTCCGCTGATTGGTCGCCGGTCTGGCTGCACCTGCACTCGCCCCCCAATACTACCTGATGTCTGGGGTCGCCCCAACATCAGTCTTCAGAATGTTCCGTGCTTTCGTAGCCAGCACTCCTCCCAGCTAGACGTTAGCGTGTACTGAGAGAGGTGGTGGCTTTAAGCCAATATTCCAGCACCTCCCACTTAACTTTTGTGTTGCACTTCTTATTATTTTGCCTTAACGTAACTTTCATTGTGTCATTTCAGTATTCTTATTATTTTGATTCATTGATTTTATTATACATATTTGTTTGTGCATTATTTTCATGTTTTGATTTATTTAACGTAATTAAAATTTCATTGTTAAAGTTTTACTTGTGTTTTGTGTGTCTTCTCCTTACCTTACCACAGACGAAGTTCCAGTTTTTCTATTTTTTTTTATAACTATGTGACGAGGCCATACCCCTAGCCTTAAACAGCCGAACACCAACGCGTTACCGTCACAAGTTTTATGGGGGCCTGTCCTAGGAGCCTCACTCAGGTACTGGTGCCAAGTGGTAATTTATGGTAAGCGTATTTAACTCTGTTAACGTAGCTTTACTATTTTTCATTCAATTTCATTTTTTATAAGGTGCGGTGTATTGTGCATTACGAGAGTAACATATAGTGAAGGTGAGACAACTTTGGATTACGTGGTGACTGTAGGCCGCAGTCATACTCTTAATTGGTCATCTCTCCCTCCTTGTTATTACTCGTATTTACCATCTATGTCCCTTGAATATTTCTCATTCTGACAGATCATCATATTGGTACCCTGGTACTGTGGTCTGCCCCGGGTCAAGAGTACCCAATCTTCTGCAATCTGACTGTAGGAGGACAAAGAGGGCCATAGTTCCTCTAGCTCGAACTTTAGTTGCTGAATTGGGACCTCAGCAGCAGTTCTCGTCACCAGTTGACACCTCGCACCCCTACACGTCAGTCAGAGATGATGATACATACAACGGTAGGGAATTAGCTTATTTTTTCAGAGCACAAAAATTCGCTAATTCTGTAAGTATCATATTAAATTCAGTAGGAAAAACTTGCTTTATGTCCTATAGAGACTTGGCAAGGTATGCCTACATCCTTGGACTACCAATTTTACTTTTGAAGCATTTAACTGTTTCAGTTGTTTTCGAAACTTTTGTTTCATTTGTTAGTAGGATTTTCTTGCCCTTATTCTCTTACATGAGTACCGGGTACAAGATTTCCTGCGCCCTTGATTTAATTTAATCATTTAATATCTTTCACTTAACGTTAATTGTTAAAGATCACACAGGATAGGTACCAGTTGCCACGTTGTCCTGTTTCTGACATTTCATTATTGAACATTCGTGTACCTTTATTTGCTAATTTCACCATGTTTCGTCTCCAAACTTTCCGTGCAAATCCAGCAGGTGAAATAGGGACTTTGAGTCGTGCCAAGAGGACTGAACTACAAACTCTTGCACATGAGTATCAACTAGAAGTTCCCTACCAAGCCAACAAAAATGACCTACACAACCTGTTGCTGGATTACTATTTAGAGCAAGGTAAGATAGACTCTGAAACTCATGAAACTTACTATATTGCAGATAAAACTGACTTGGCAACGATGAAACTTAAACTAGAGCTGGCCAAGATTGAACGTGAGCAGCAAAGGGAAGCCCTCGAACAACAAGAACGAGCTGCTGCCATACGAAGAGAAGAACAAGAACGAGAAATCACCCTCAGAGAACGTGAAGCTGCTTTGAGAAGAGAAGAACACGAACGTGGACTCGCCCTCCAGGAACGTGAGGTTGCACTACTCCAGGAGCGGGAACGAGTACAGCTTGAAACACTCCAGGAGCGGGAACGAGTACAGCTTGAAACCAAACGACGCGAGTTGGAGATGCAACGCGAACATGACAAGCAACAAGCAACTCTGGCTCTAGAGTGTCGTCAACGTGAAATCGCCCTGGAAACTTCACACTTCACTCAACGCCAGCAAGCTACTGCAAATCTTCCCGTCAGTTTTAATATATCACATGCAAGTAAGTTAATGCCATCCTTTGTAGAAGCAGAAGTTGATGTGTTCTTTACCACCTTTGAAACCCTTGCTAATCAACTCAGTTGGCCTGTCGACCAATGGGCCACACTTCTCAGAGTCCATCTTACAGGTAGAGCTGCAGTCACACTCAGTACTTTGGCGTCTGAGAATGACTACTACACTCTGAAACAAGCAGTGTTGGACGCCTACCTCCTCTCTACTGAGAGTTATAGAAGGAAATTCCGTGACCACCTGAAGGCAAGTACCACT